TTTTTTTTTTTTTTTTTTTTTTTTTTGCCCCGTTTTTTGGGGACTACTGGTCGCACGCCGGTGGGTACCCCGCGCGACGTGGTGCGTTAACGGCCGCGTCGATTCCCTCAAGCAGGGAGAGGTACTGGTGGTTTACATTGCTCCTGAAAACAGAAATCAGGGCAGACTGGAGAAGGAAGGTTCTGACAGGTAACAGGAGAGGGGGAGAAGTCTGGTTTCGAGAGACATGGGCAGTACCTGGTGGACTGGCTTCAATCAGAGAGGACAAACTAGTATTATCACAATGGTTGGATAGGCAATAGACAGTAGGAGCTAGGTAGGGTAGATAAGAACCAGGCGCAGTCGGTTCCGGTTGGCAGACACAGTAGTCTGCAAACGGGTTGGGTAGGGAGGGAGAGTGTCATAGATAATGAGGAACACAGTTCCCCCGGTCGTACTACTGGGCTGGGTTCAGACCGTGTTAGGTCTGTGAAGGTAAATAGGAAATCTCTAGATTAGAAGGGGTATTATTATGGTTAGGAATAGCCATAGAGATAGGATAGGCTCGTTTGCGATTGATCCGGAGGTTGATTGCTTGTTTTCAAGCGAAACTGGCTAAGGCTGCCAGAAGTTACTCCCGGGTGGAATTGTGGGGACCCCGGCCCCGATTCGAACGTGTTTTTCGAGAAATGAAAGTGCTAACTTGGTTTAAAAAAGAAAAAGAAAAAAAAAAGAGATATCATGACCGGCCCCAGGCAATTCAGAAATAGTTGGTTTCACGACTTGATTCATCAACTTCCATCGTCTGGATTCGAACACGGGTCCGCATTTTCAACAGTTCATGGATGTACCCACTGAGCTAGGCTCTTAAGGTAATTCGGCAGTTTTTCTTTGTGGTTCTGTCGTTTTTTTCCATCGCGCCTCACAGGCTGGCCAGAAGGCTGCCCAGAAGGCCTAGATCCGCCAACTCATCTGATCTGCAAAATGAGAACGAATCTTTCCCTAGAACTACAGAAGATACACAGCAGAACTTTTTGTGTTGTGAGCTTCCTCTCGTCCTCCTCCCCCTCCCCCTCCCCCTCCCCCTCCGTCGAAATCGTTGACGCCACGCCCCCCCTTTCCTCTCATCGGTAGTGTTCGTTCTACCGCATCGGTCAGCGCCGCCGACCCTCCCGCCATAGTCTTAGCGGCTCCTCCTACTCCCCCCTTTTCCGGAAGATCCCGTCCTGGCATGCAGCTCATCGCTTCCGCATCACCGTAACGTATAGGTACCACCCCTCTCTCCCGCTCCATTCTTTTTCTTTGTTTCTTTTGCCACGACTCTGGTGTGTTCCCTTTATCGTCGCACTGCTCGTTGGTTTCGCTCTTAATATTTACACGGTTTCTTTTGCGTTGCGTCCTCCTCCTCCTCCTATTGTGGGGCAGTGAGGGTCGTCTCTCCCTCTCTCTCTCTCTCTCCCTTGCCGTTTCTCTCTCTCTCTCTCTCTCTCTCTCTCTCTCTGTGGCTGCGGCTGCAAGAGAACGACACGTAATGGTCGTCGTTAGTATTTCTTGTGTTGTCTATCATACACTGCAACTGAAGAAAAAGGGATTTCTACTTTGTTTTTTTCATCAGGCGGTTAATACCGTGTCCTGATGTATGATGATTATGATGAGATTGTGGAAAACACGACGACTGTTGTCAGGTGTGATGGCGATGATGATGATGACGGTGAGGACGACGGTGATGATGATGATGATGATGATGATGATGGCGATGATGATGATGATGATGATGATGGTCATGATGATGATGATGATGACGAAAGTCAGTATCTGAGGGTGGTCATTAAAAAAAGTGAGCCGAGGAAAGATGACGGCGGTTATGCGGAGGAGGACAATCGGGAGAATGATGACGATGGTGTAGGTAGTCTCGGTATCAGATCGGTGGGCGAGGGAAAAAGCAAAAAGCAAAAGAAGACGAAAGAATGGTCGACAGTTCGGTCGCTGCTGATGAATCGCTCGATCAGCTGATTGAGCTGATTCCATCACATTACGCATCTTCACCATCGAGCAGATCCCATATTATCCGTCTTCACCCAAATGGTACTCTGCTCCCATTTTATTATCCGTCTTCACCCAAATGGTACGTCCGATCTTTATAGCTGTATGTTTGGGGCACGTTTCAGTCCAGATGCAGCGATAATGACGGGGCGTTCTATTCGGGTGAAGATGGTAGTCGGCACTTTGCGGTGTATATATATACACATGTATTGCCACCTCACGTTTAACATAACGCTCGTCATCGATGGGCGCACTTCACGTCCCAGTGTCATTAAGATAACCACACTGCCGCCCATCCAAGGAACCACCGATCTGCCAAATACAACCCTCCTTTTCTCCCCGCCACACATGCCCTCTCTCTCTCTCTCTCACACACACACACACACAGCACTTTGACGAGTGTGATCTTAACGGGGACGTGCTTTTAGATTCTGGAGTTTCTGTGCTCTGATTGTAGAATGCATTTCCCTTCTCTCGCATTGCTTCCTTTCCTCCTTTTTCGTCCTTGTCCTTTTTCCCTCTTTTCTCCGTAGTTCTGGACCTGTTTTTGTTCCCTTTTTTGATGTGTGCTGTTAGATTGTATCTCCTTCAGTTGTCTTTGAGACTGCGCGTTCTTGCGCCACCTACATATAAGGAAGAAGATTAAAAATGAATTAAGTTTCTCTTGTTTATGTTTTTCGCTTTGGCGCTCTGATATCATGTGACAATATATATATATATATACAGTCTGTAGAGTTTTCCATCTGGTGATATCATGTGACAATATGTATATATAAACAGTTTGTCACAGCCCCTCGTTTGTTGTCCTCTTCTCTCTCTCTGCCTACGGTTTTACCGGGCAGTTCTGTTTGTGACGATATATACTACGACTTCGCTAGCTTCCTGCTACGGTTTTTTCCGGTCAGGTCGAGCGGCAGTGGTCGGGGCCGTTACTAGGCGGCCATGCTGTGCCTCTAGTGCCAGCGGCGTGTCTGGAGTGTATTTTTTGGCTGTGACAGACCTTTCTTTGTTTCGTGGATGTTTTGCTGGCTTGTGATGGGGTGTGACTGTCTCTTATACACATCTAGATGTGTATAAGAGACAGGGATTCTGCAGACTGTTGAGGGTTCAGCCTCCTGATGAGTCGGTGAAACTTCGACGTAACAGTTTGTCACAGCCCCTCGTTTGTTGTCCTCTTCTCTCTCTCTGCCTACGGTTTTACCGGGCAGTTCTGTTTGTGACGATATATATATAGTCTGTAGAGTTTTCCATCTGGTGTGGGTGAGTGATAATCTACTTTGATTTTGGTTAAGGTAGATTATCATTTACAGTCTAATCAGTGAGGGGATTCTGCAGACTGTTGAGGGTTCAGCCTCCTGATGAGTCGGTGAAACTCCGACGAAACAGTTTGTCACAGCCCCTCGTTTGTTGTCCTCTTCTCTCTCTCTGCCTACGGTTTACGGGGCAGTTCTGTTTGTGACGATATATATACGATATATATACGATATATATATATATATATATATGAGTCGGTGAAACTCCGACGAAACAGTTTGTCACAGCCCCTCGTTTGTCGTCCTCTTCTCTCTCTCTGCCTACGGTTTACCGGGCAGTTCTGTTTGTGACGATATATATACATATACATGTGCCCTGTGCGATCGTTTCTAACCCTTGATTGTGGAGCGAGGCCCAACCTATTGGGTACGTCTCAACGATCAACCAATCGATCATGTGGCAGTGTGTCGTTTGCTGCGGGCGGCGAAAATGTGTCCCAGGGTCTTTCGCAGCCAGAATCCGGTCCCTCACCCGGCACTTCGGTCACGAGGTGAGGTGTCTCTTCCTTAACAAGTGCACGGCTCAGAGTAGCATGGCCGCGAGAATCGGCCCGTACCATTCATTTCACTGTCACGGGTTGGCCAGCCAGATCCGTCCACTTACGGTACTCTCACACTCAAAGACAGCACATTCTCTCTCTCTCTCTCTCTCTCTCTCTCTCTCTCTCTGTGTCGGCCCGCGTTCAGGAAAAGGCAGTCGATGAACATATAATACAAATTACCATATTACCATACACATATATTCACGTGGGCGGCCTTGTACGCAAGAGGTTTTGAACAGGGGGAGTTGTAAGGAAGAAAATATAAAAAAACGAATTCATTCTCTTTTTTTTCATTTTTTTCGCTTTTGCGCTCTCATATTCATGTGATGATATATACGTATATACGTATGTATGTATATATATGTGAAACTCCGACGAAACAGTTTGTCGCAGCCCCTCGATTGTTGTCTTCTTCTCCCGCTCTGGGGACGGTTTACCGGGCAGTTCTGTTTGACGATATATGTATGGGATATTCTCACAATAGAATACATAATCTATGATGTATATATAAATATTAAATAATAAGTACTGCATTGCATAATATAGGAGTATTCACATTTAAAGAATAGAACGAGTTTTTATTTATGTATTATACAAGAGCAATACTGTAATTGCATCAATGTAAATCCAATGCTACTCTTCCTCGACGCCAGTCTCCTTTCGAAGGTCTCTTCTTCACCACTTACGGTACTCTCACACGGACGAAGACAGCTCTCTGCCTCTCTCTCTCTCTCTCACACACACAGGCACACAAACACAGCTCTCTCTCTCTCTCACAGACACACACACACACACACATCGAGGGTTCAGAAGTGCTGCGTGGCAGCCGAGGAGTGTGTCTCGGTACCCCCTTTTGCGACCATCGTGGTGAACCGACGCCCACCATATCATCGAACACTTGTTTTTTTTCTTTTTTTTGAATTCTTCCACTGGTCATGTCATGTCTTATTTGCCGCCCTTCCCAACCAACCGCGCGCGTTTGTTCCCACCGGCCGTTTCTCTTTCCAGTTTGTGTTATTCGTCGTGGTGAACTGAAGCCCGCCAAATCAAAAAAAAAGATTCGGGGAAACTACGCGGAAGTCACAAAAATGAGTTACACTAGTAATTGCGGTGTGTGCCAAGCTACAGTTTGCAATTGCAGTTCCGGCGATGTATACAACCCAGCTTTCTGGCCAGGTAGGGTGCCCCAAGTGCAATTGCAAATTGTATCTGGGCCCATAGTGCAATTACTACTAGTTTTGGAGACTCTACTGAAGTTAATCCAAAAAAAATCTTCCGCCGGTCATGTTTTATAATCCGCCCTCCCACCCGCGTTTATTCCCCTCCGAGGCTCTTTCTCTTTCCAGTTTTCGAAAACGCACCTGTTCGATTCTACACTCTTGGTCGACCTTTCTCTCGTCAAGAGCTTATCCCTTGGCCTTCCACTCTCTCTCTCTCTCTCTCTCTCTCTCTCTATGTGTCTCTTTTGTCATCGCCTCTTTTGAGGTTGTACTGAAGAGAAAACAAGAGAAAAGGTTCTCGGCGCTTTCGTGGTCGTTGATTCCTGTGGATGATTCCCAGGGGAAACCGATTAATCACGCTCCGTCGCTCCGTCGCTCCGTCCCTCCGTCCATCTCTCCCTTAGTTCTCGGCTGTTAAAGGACAACAAAGAGAACTGGACAGTCTGCTTGCCACGTGAGCATCGTTGTTGTCGTGGAGCTTGATTGGTAGTCGTGCCGCTGTTTGTGTATGAGGTTGTCTGATGATCGTCCCTCCCTCTCCTTCCTTCTCTCCCTTAGTTCCCGGCTGTTAAAGGACAAAGGGCCTCGTTAGACCCTCCTTGGGAAGACCATTTTTAGGAATTCGGAATGGTTACACCGCGTCCTAATTCACTGAATTCCTTGGATTAACGAGGCCCAAAGTGAAAACGCTCCCGAGAGATTTCCTTGGGGATCCTCAGAATCGCCAGCCATTGCGTCCTTGGATTCAAGGGTCCTCCTGAGGTCCTTTGGGCTCAAGGAGCCGCGATATACGGAGAGGAGAGAACACACACGTAGAGGAGATGTTACAACGGTCGAACCGGGATCGTGGCGACACCCGATTCGCTGAAAGCCTCAAGCACAACTGTTTATCTTTTTCTTTTTCTTTCCCCCCCCGAAAAAGCTCCAAGGACGAATCTCTAAGCCGACGCTCCAAGGACACGGTGTAACGATGACGCCGAAAATGATAAATTAATCGAAGGACTTCCTCCTAATTCCTGAGGATTTTCCAGGGAGGGTGTAACGAGGCCCAAAGAGAACTGGACGGTCTGCTTGCCACGTGAGCATCGTTGTTGTCGTGAAGCTTGATTGGTCGTCGTGCCGCAGTTAGCGTTTGAGGTTGTTTGATGACGTGGCTGATGACGGGTGGGAGAGAGATATTCTGGCTTTGCGCGCTACGAAGACACCTGGGAGCATGCCATGTCATCATATTCGTTGCGATCTTTGTCATCATCGACTGATTCATCAGGAGAGGAAAGACATTGCTTGCTTGATTGGTTGGTGGATTGATTGATGAATCTTTGCATAGGCACGCTAATGTATCGATTGTGAAAAAAATGCTTCTTGTTGCGCATCTCGTACTCTGATTGCGGCCGGGTCATCGCTCGATCACTCCGTGTGTAAGTGACCTACGTTATCATCAGCCTTTCCATTCATTGTTAGATCATTGCAAGCACCAGTCAAGCTAATAAGACCAACTCTGTCAACATTGTCCTCGCCGTCATCTTCATCGCCATTGTTAGCGTGATCTTACAGTATTGCCACTTTCTTTAATCGGCCATCTTCATCACCATTGGTACCGTGATTTTATTGCCACTGTCTTCGATCTGCCCTCGATTTGCTTTGCATCTGCTTGCGGTCTGCTTTCAATATGCTTTCAGTATGCTTTCAATATGCTTTCAGTATGCTTCCAATATGCTTTCGATCTGGTTTCGATCTGGTTTCGATCTGGTTTCACACTGGTTTCAATCTGGTTTGCTTTCGATCTCGTTTCGATCTGGTTTCAAACTGGTTTCAATCTGGTTTCGATCTGGTTTTGATCTGGTTTCAAACTGGTTTCAATTTTCTTAATCGGCCATCTTCATCCCCGTTGTTACCGTGATTTTATTGCCTTTGTCTTCGATCTGCCATCGATTTGCTTTGCATCTGCTGTGGATCTGCTTTCAATAGCCTGCGCTGAATTTGCTACC